TGTGAGTAAATTGCGATACTTTTTGAAATATGAGCACTGGGAACTATTGCCCTTTAGGAAGTGGGATTTATACATTTTATGTCCTGAACGAATACTATTGAGTATTCCTTTCGATATCCAATGTTTAAGTTTAATCTTTTTTTCGCGGCGTGACAATTGTTTAAACGGAGCATGGCGGTCAATTAGATGAACAATAGAATTTGTAAATTCTTCCAAATGACTATTAAAATTATGGGCATTCAAGTTAAATGCAGCAAAGTGATTATTAATTATATCTTGCATGTCTGACCGAAACGCGTCAATCGAAAATGTAGACATATCCCTTCTAAAAATAACATCATTTCTTATTGATGGTTTGATGCCATTAAGACTACACATTATTGGGAAATGATCAGTAATATCTGATAATATAACATGAGAATCCAGTTTTATATGAGTCAAGTTTGTATATAAATGATCAATTAGTGTAGCCGAATTTTGTGTGACCCTGGTAGGTCTTGTAATAGTAGAAAAGGTGTTATGAGCAACAAACCTATTGGTATAATTGGCAATTTGGGTACTATATTTTGCTGCAAGTAGATTGATGTTAAAATCTCCCACGATCATAAAAGGATTTTTTGTTAATTTTGTAAGGCAGTTCTCAAATATGCTGGTAAAAGTAGAAATATCGTTTTTTGGATGTTTATATATAATATCAATGCTCAAATTAATGTTAATGCTTTGAAGGTTTATTTCAAGCCATAATTCTTCACAATTGGAGTAATTTAGATGATATTCAGTTGTCTCAGTAAATTTAATTTCATTTCTAATAAAAGCACCGACACCACCTGCTTTCGAAGCAGAAGGTGCGTGTATAAATCTATAGCCATCAATGCTCATATAGTCAGAATTATTGTTTAATTTTGTCTCACTTATAGCTATAATATGGGGTGAAGGGTTGAAATTAGACAAAAGTGCAGATAGCTGCCCAATATTCTTTCGAATTGAGCGAATATTTAAATGTATGATAGTTAAATCCGAATCAGTTCTAATATTTTTTATATCTGCCACTTCTAGGTTGCTGCAGTGGCAACCACTAATTTGATTTGGGGGTATAAGACTGTTGGCACCATTATCACAATGGTCTGAGAAATTATCATAATTATTCGACATTTACTTATATGGAAAATAAGTATTGGAATTGCAAGGAATAATTATCAATAGAATTATATAGAAAAAAAAGGTATGTACATATAAATATATATAAAATACAGAAACCTACTTTATGAAAAGTAGATCCTCCTCCGTAATGATTGGGATGGTAGGAGTGTCTGAATTCTTTTTAATGAGCACTTTGCCATTGTTAGTCCACAGAAACTTATAGCCACAGGCTTGCTTCAGATCTCTAGCTTTGAAAAATAAATCTTTGTTCGTGTCGGTTAGATTTTCTACGACAAAGATTTTGGTGGATCTAGAAAAGCTCGGGAAAACTGTAGAAATGTCTAAGGACTTCAGTCTACGTCGATTCTTCAATATTTGGTTTCTTGTTTTTCTGTTTATAAAATTTGCAATTATTGGTGATGGCTTTTTCTTATTGTTTTTTGATATTCTATGGCAATTGGAGATGTCAAAGGATTTCAGAGGAACATTAATTTTCTCACATATCTTGGAGATTAGATTTTCACAGTTTTCCCCGTTTGAATAAGGAATATTGTGAAATTCCAGATTGGCCAGCCTGGAACGACGTTCTTGGTCCTGTTGTCTCTCAGTTAGTATATCTACTTCTTCCTCTAGCTTTTCCACAAGCTTTTCAAGTTCCATAACTCTTTTTTTTGTTTTGGTTGCAGTTTTGTTGAGTTCGATTTGGCTTGATCTCAACTCGTCGAATTTTTTCGACACGAAATCCTGGCTTATTTTGATTTCATGGATTTCGTTTTTGATTTCAGTAAAGGATGTTACTTCAGATCTTATCTCGTTTATTGACTCTTTCAATGATGTTATTGAATTCTCCAAATTTGGAGTATTGGTGAAGGCCTGGTTTGCATCGAAAGATCTTTCAAGATGTTGCTGGATGATGGTAGGGATCTCGAGACGCAGTGTCTTTAAAACTGTACTTTCTAGTACAGACACCAGATTGGTAATGTCGTCAACTTTAATTGTGGAGGTCATTGACGAAGTCGAACGCATTTGTCGATCGGTTGGACTTTTGCGCTTAGGTGGTGCTGGAGGAGAACTGGATTTGTCTGGAGTGTCCATCTTTTCCCACTGCACAATTCAAGATATTCTTCAAAAAATTAGATGTGGATTACATCCATACAAAAGTTACAAAGATTATCAATATTAAGTTTTATAGTTATTCATATATCATCTTGGACAGCAAACAATGACACAATAACAACACCACCCTGTGTTGGCGAGAGTCCAGCAATCCTTTCACATATGATCATCCGCACGGATTCGAACCATGCAGGGTAATCAGATGTGTGCCGGAAAAACGTACTCCTATCGCTTAGAATGAAGCACCACACCGATGAGACGATAAACAGTTTTATTGATTTGAAAAACAACAATTGTGCATTACAGAATTAAAGGGTGGAATTTGGGGTAGCAATTTTGTGAATGTTTAATATACTATACGTCCAAATACAGAGTTGAATTCTAAACCTTCTATCGCGAAGTCCATTTTGTCAGAAAGGGTGAAGATATATGCAATAGTTATGAATTTATGGGGTAACTGTTAAGGTGCTGAGTTTGCAACACTCTTGCTATTTCGCTGCTGACACTCCTTGAAGTTTCATTATTCGATTCTGTCAATGTGGAAGAAAAGTTGACAAGTTGTCGGGCCATTTGCAAGACTTAAATCAATAAATTAGCTGACTCAAATCTAGTATTGAATTATCTAATTTGACTTTCTCAACTGTCCAACTCAAGGCATATGGAAAGGTTAACCAGATTGCTATTTCCATATCCAACCTTATATAAACTGGGCAATATCTGAGGGCCAACAGGTGGTTAGGTCATTGGTTAACTATCTTAAAAGTTGGTACATTGGTAAATTCCCTGGTGTCATTCTCACTCAATCCTAGCCCACCTGTAGACTACATGGAACAACAAGATGTGTTTACTGTAATGATGGAGAAATACGTTGAGTGTGGCGATGGCCTCGTGCCCAACGTGTTGGATTTATCTATGTTGGTATTGAGATCACACATTTCGGGTTAGAGTTTCATGCCGTCATCCCCACTTTACTCAAGGTGAAATGAATTGGATGGGCAATACCCAACCAGTGATATTCTGGTCATTTTAAATAAATATTAGCTTTTTACGAAATATTAGATACGAGTGGATAGTTGTACAAGGCCTTGTTCAGGGCGAAAGTTGTAAATAAGCGTCATACATCGATTGATTTTTTTTTGAATTAAAAATATTTTTATTTGTGGGATTGACAAAACCAATCAATCTACCATTCCCAATACATTCTAAAATATTTTCAAATTTTTAATATATTGAAAATAGACTTCACAAGTTAATGTGTATTCAGTGAGTTTCACAAATGTCTACTTTTTTATTTATTGAAATGATGATAAACTCCCCCTCTATCACATTGTCATGGTTTTCTTTCTCAAGGGATAAAATAAAAACACATTTAGTCTTAATCAGGTTTATTATTAATCGAAAAAAATCATTATAATAAAAAAATTTTCAAGACTGGATTAGGAACAATAATATAGGTACTAGCATTTTTGTATATTTTATATTTTTTCAAATTTATCTTACATATTTCTCAAAATTGACAGAAATCAGTTTTTTTTCTATGTTGACTTAATTTTCGGAGCTAATGAGTTAGAATGCGTTACCACTAGGGCTGGGAATGGTTAACCGGTTAACCGATTTCAGATGGTTAACGGTTACGATTTATTTTAATCGTTAACTGGCATCACAGGTACAAATCATCTTTAAAATGTACAATTCTTCCAAAAATGATTACGTCATCGCAAATTTATCTCTGTGGCGTTTAATTCAAAAGCATATCGTTAACTGTATTGGTGTGGACCCAATAAATGTGAAAAATAATTGAAATACCAAGATTGCTGATTATGAAAATTTGACAATAATCAATTATGAATCAGTTTTCGGTCGAAATATATTGTTCACAATTTTATTTCAAAATCGTATAATCATAGTCAACCAACAAGTGCGTAGTTGATGCTGTTTCTTTTCTTTTCTGTTATTTTTTATATAAGTAGAATTTGCACATCAAACACTGAAAATTTGTCACATAAATGAAATTTAATAACAGAATCGGGTTTTACTATAATACTTCCATATGACCTACCCATGCTGCATATCTCTTGCAGCAGAGCGATCACGAAACTATCTCGATTCGTGAATAATTTTGAGCGATACCAGAATGAGGTCACGCGAAATAGCTTTGCAACCATTGTGACGTAACAAGCTAAAAGTATAAATTATAATATGAAACGTCACGCTGCGGTTAACCGGTTAATTTTACCCGGTTAACGGGTAAAGTGCTTTCCCTAAAATTCCCAGCTCTAGTTACCACCTCTTCACCACCACAGCGACTGTTATGAGAGCGAATTAACTCGTGCTCACTGAGTTGAATTTCCTGGTCGGTCGTTGGAAGGTAACGCTAATTCGTGTCACATTATTTTAGGGTCGTTAGAGTTAGGGTTTGTCGCTGTTGTGGCAGTCGCTGTTTTGACAGTCGCTCACTTGATTACGTCGCTATTATGAAGTTTCCATTATGACAGTCGCTGTTTTGACAGTCGCTATTTGGAACCCGAGCCAGAAAAAACCAGTCTCTTTAAAGCTGGCTCCTTGTCTAAAGTCTTGTTCACAGTGGAGACATGACACCAACTTATAAAAATAGGTTTCCAATCCCAAATATTACTAGTTTTAAACCGAGAATGCATGCTCAGCATGAACTACGGAATTTGCAAGCTAATACATTTCTTTATATGAAGAATAATTGGTTTGAAAAACAATACATATCACAAATTCATAATACAATTATTTATCCAGTGGAAAAGTATACAAAGTAGGATATTTGCAAAAAACCTATTTTACTGTGATTTTGCATCAGAACTTTTGATAGTTTGTATATACAGCATTGACTTGGTTGCATGATTATAAAAATAATATATCAAAATGCTATTGGATATTCAACAGGATATTGATAGATATATACAGTGTTCATCAAACGTATACGAAATATTTTAACGGAATGGTAACTCAATGGTGTTTTTCCTTCAGAAGTCTTGATAGTTTATATGTACAGTATTGCCTTGATCGCATAAATTGTTATAAAAATATAAACACATTCGTTTATATTATTATTAAATTTGTTTTATATAAAATATAGAATACACTTGAGCACATAGCCAAATTAATTTTGAAGTGCAAGAGTATGCAAAGTCACGTATTTTCAAAAATAATTTCGCTTGAACTCTTGATTTGTATATTGTCAGATGCTTTATATTAGGTAATCCCAAAGCATGTGAACCAAGATGGCGGACACCGGAACATAGTTGTGTACCAAGGCCATAATTTTATTCCAATTTTCCTTATTTTAGTATTACGAGTTCGGAGGCTAGCCAAGTGACCCCCGTTGTAATTGTACCTGAAATTATGGCCTAACCCTAACCTGGTACACATACTACGTTCTGGTGTCGGCCATCTTGGTCCACATACTTCGGTAGTACCTTATATTATACAGAACAGGCTTGGTTGAATGATTATAAAAATAATATTGGGTATTGAATGGGATGTTGATATATATACAGCGGTGGTTGACAATTAGAAGCTCGGGAAAATTGTATAGATCTATTTACAGCAGAAGCAGGGAAGCTACGGAATAATTATACAATATATCATAAAAGTAATATATTAAAATGCATAAGAAACAACATTGAAACTTAGATTAATAATATATTTAGTTGTGGATAGCAATTAGGACCCATGGTAAAAATATTTATACAGATAATCTATTCAGCGTAATTCATGAGCTCAATAACACAGGTTTGGGTTGGACATTTTTTAAATCAAACCATACTTGATTAATTAATTTTTGTTAAAGTACGAACCAATGGGCATTCGGGTATAACCTGTCACAAATTGTCAAAACACTTTTCAGATATCTTGACTAACTTATAAATGCCAGTTTATTTAACATATTATAATTAATAAAGAGTTAATGCGAATACATAGAGTTTTGCTGATTGATTCCACCAAATTAAATATATTGGCAATACAATCATCCTATTAGCATTGTGTTTGGACTCGACTATGTTGGCATGTCCAATTGAATACCCCAAGTTCAATCATATGCCCGCTACCTCACCCGGAGTGTTGTAGACTGTGGAAGGAACAGGAATATTCAGAGAATTATAAAAAAATGCCTCAAAAATATTAAACTATATGATAGCAGTCACTGATATCTAACAATACGAGAGGAGCAACTATTTATTTGAAAGTTTCAAAATTTTTTCTTTTTGCCTACTCAATCTAATAGACCATGGGAGAGGTGAGGGGGTGGAATTTAGACCTGCAATGTGTAATCAACGATGCCAGCGCAGTTAAGTCCTAAGCTTCAGCCGCCTAGGGCATTTTACTTATTTGTCAATTTGCCTTACACAAATGGCACAAATACAATTCTTAATATGAAACTTTGTGTTATTTTTAATATTTGATCAAGAACATAATTTGCACAATGGCTGCAATGGTAATATTGTTTTGGCATTTGATGTAGATTTAATGAAGCAATTTCAGTATCCTATGCAGGGAACAGTACAATCAGTGTTGTAGGAAATCTTTCTGGATCTCGTCATCTTCGGATCAATTTGAAGGGAAACTGAGAAGAGGAAGAAAATTTTTACTGCAAGGAAAAGTGAAAATATAATTTTGATAAGAGGCAATAAGATAAAACTAAAATTTATTAATCTATACACTGACTATAATACGGCAGCGTATTCAGACATATTCTGTTGAAGTCATGTTTTTGTTATATTTATTTATCTATCCAAGCTTGATATTTCCTACAAGCTACAGAGCTAATTTTTTGTCTCTGGTAAAATTACAGTATCTATGAAAAATATTGGTCATTTACATATCATTGGATGCTTACACAAGGCCTTGTATGAAGGTAAAAACATGAAAACGTGGAATAAAAAACCATTTATTCCTATATTATTAATATCACCATATCCTACACACTGTTTTGTCATCACTTCAATAGTGAATTGTCAAAGAACCTACATGAATTCAAAAGAACTGGGTGGATGTAAAAGTTGGACCTTGAACTTATATTGTCAATAAAAACTGCCCAGCAGATAGAGTGTCTCATTGAAGATTGCGCTTTTGAATTTGCATTTTAAAAGCTTCAAAATCATGTTATTGTGACATCATATGTGACAGTAGAGCACTCTATGATGTATTTAGGGCTGGGCTTTTCAAATCGAATTATTAGAATCGGAGAAAATTTCATGTTAACAAGCAAACCTTTATGTACTTTCTATACCAATGCAAGTTCATTACTCAATTCAGTTTCAAGTGATGATTATCTAACTTGTTATTTCAAAAATTTAAGACTATAAATATGGATGTATGTTGGGGAAAGTGGGCAAAGCAATATTTTGCCAGCGTGTTGAATGAATAAAACTATCTCACCCATATATCATACTTGAATCCTTTTGCCTTCAATGCTTGTTTCAGTTTCATTGTATGGTTTGGATCTGGATATCCATTGCTGAAATGAAAAAAAATTCATGAACTCTGTTTGAGCCTGTTCCTAGAAAAATAATGGAAATTTGGTAAGTTTTCTGTTTAACAATAACAGATCCTGCCCAGAGAGTATTGAAAAACAGAATTGGGTTCTAGGAATAAAAAAATTTCGGCGCTCCTGAAGCATGTGAACCAAGATGGTGGACACCGGAATGTGGTATGTGTACCAGGTTTGGGTAAGGCCATAATTTTATTGCAATTTTCCTTATTTGAGTTCTATTACGAGTTCGGGGACTAGCCAAGTGACTCTAAAATTATAGCTTAACCCCAACCTGGTACACATACTACGTTCCTGTGTCCGCCATTTTGGTTCACATACTTTAGGGAGTACCAAGATTTCGTCTGAGCAATCAAGAATTAGTCATGATGGGGCTACAAACTATGGGTTGACAAACATTTAACTTTACCATAAGCGGCCATTCCAGTTTATGTTAAAAAATTTGAGAAAACTTAATGTATGTCAGAAATTTCGACTTTTGCTTCAAAATTAAAACGACTAAAATTAAAAAAATAATTAAGAAAATATGACTCTAGTTTTGAACTCGATACCAAAATAATGTCAAAATTAACTTTTCTCTCTGCTCCCGTCACAGGTCCTTACAATATCAGATAAAATGAAAATCATGCTGACTCATAAAGTCATAGCAAATAATCTTTTGTACACGATGACCAGACAGTTTTATTGAAAGCTATTTTATCCAATATGCCTTTTATGCTTTGCAAATCGTGAAAAATAAATTCCAATATCCTTATTGGTGAAATTTATTCCCTATAATTTTATTTAGCTGTTAAAATTGGACTCCCAAAAGAACTTTGTGTTGTAGTGCAATACGAAGGGATAATAAAATTTTTAAATTATTTTTATTCCTTCCTATTTCCTAACATTTTATGAAGTAAGTAACCACCAAACATAAAACACACAAAGTACTTACTTCTCAGGTCCTCCAGTTTTATTAGTCTTATGAGGAAACTCATCGCTCCAAACAATTTTTCCTTTTCTGTCACCAACTTCCTGAATCTTGAAAATCAATCCTGCATCGAATGCTTGTCTGAGTAAGTAGTAACATAACCATCCATCATCATCTGGCAAATATTCAGTGAATTCTTGAGCTTCATATGAAACCCCCTGAAGAAACAAACAAAACTAATCATCTCTCATACCTGGGGGTTTGTTAAACTGATATAAATATCAGAATATCTATGAAAGTTTAGCAGAATTTAAAAATTTTCTAACAAAATACTTGTGTTTCTAATAGATTAATTCAACTTGACAACCCAACAACTTAATTAAACATTGAAATCAAAAATTATAAGGAAGCCCGCTAAATATTTAGCTTGTCGTGATTTTACTGCACCATTGAATCAAATTCTAAATTAAACATAGAAGAACTAAATTCTATGAACAAATTAAATTTAAACAAACCGTGAGTTTCAACAAGCATGATCTATATATGGCTATTTTATGATTTTACTGCACAAATGGCTTCTAATCCAACTTTTTCTCAATAACAAACTTTTCAAAGCTTTGATTTCCATTAGAACTGAATTCAATCAGCATACCAGTTTAAATTAATTATAGATGGACAAAGCATGAACCAGAGTCAACCCATATAAGCATTATACAAAATACTGCATGATTCTGTATATTTCTATGAGAAGCAATAACTCATGTGAGTGAATGCAAACATTTAGCAATACTTCTTTCAAGCTTCTGGACTGTGCAATGGCCTAACGCAGTGGTTACCAAAGGGTGTACCACGGTGCACTAGTGTTACGTAACAATAAAAATGGACACTGCTTGCTGCAATTTCCCAAGCTGCAGTTTATTTATCAGTTGAACAGAGTTTGTTTAGAGTTTCAAAATAAAATCAGGCAGAGGAAGGTTGACATTAGGCATATATGTTTACAAACATAATGTACACATTCATGATTAATTTTTCCCTAATAATTCAGCGGCGCACAAACAAAAAGTTTTGGGACAGTCGGCCTAATGGTTGAAGTGTTGGACTGAACTAAGCTGACATCACATATGGAACATCTCGGTTCAAATCCATGCCAACCGCCTCACCCAGGATGAAATAAATTGGATAGGAAATGCAGAACCAGAAAATTTGAAATAATAATATCTGCTTAAATAGCTATGTCTGATAGCTTAAACTTCATTAAATATAGGATATGACAGAATTAACATATTTATCCTGGGGAGAGAGAAGCCGATATGAGGACTTAATCAAGTGGTGAACCACGGCCTCTCATTCGGTTACCGGTCTATAACACGGAAGAGACTGTCTAGCCAGTTATTCGTTTTCGGAAGCATGGACTTGATGGTGGAGGAGGCTGTAACAGACCAGTGGTTACGTGAACCACCCTACTAAATATCAGTGACTGCTTGTATAGGGCCTTGTTCAGAGCAAAAGGCATGAATAAGCATCGCATAAAAAGTAACATGACCGTACTATTATAAGGGATGTCTTTGCCATTATATCAAAATCACCATATTTGAAGCATTAATGAAATCAAAGGGTATGACAGAAAATTTTCTATTTTTCATCAAAGTTTTGTTTACATCATGTTGTATTTAGTAAATTTTGACATATATAATGATTTTGCTTCTCAATTGACAATAAGATATATATTTGTGACCCCTCAATGAATCGATTCAAGAAATTCACAATAACAATAATTGTACCGAAGAATTCTAGGCAAACTATCAGGTTTTGGGCATCCCTATATATTACCTTTACCAAATTGTGGTTCTTCAATTATTGCACTGGTATTTAACTCAGGAAAGATATTTGAATCAATCGATGTTCAAATTAATGTGCAATGGGGATTGATATCAAAACAAAAACCTTCTTGATTAAGAATCTTGATTCCAGTAAATCTGTAATTAATTTTCCAACCAACAATTATGTTTGTTTCATAACTCACCCTCATACGTCCAGCAGTAAATGAGTAGATGATGACAAGAGTCCCCCTTCTTTCATATCCTTTTTCATATCCTGGCAGTGATTCTTTAAACACATTATATGACAGCCTCCCACCAGATGGTTGTTGGTTGATGATTCTTAGACCAGAAGTAGTTTGACTTGAAGACTGAGATTCTGCACCTGGATAAATAAAAACAAAACTTGTAGCAAAAATAATGTTTGTTCTTATTTAAGCAAAAATGCTTGTGATTGAGGGGTTTAAGTATATTCAAAAGTTACCACGATATTCGAATTCTAAATTAAAAGAATGAAAATTATAGTACCTAGATGTAATCAAGCTATTGTGTGGTTATTTAGGTTTTGGGCAATGACATGGTCTAGTGCAGTGGTTCTTAAATTGGGGGCGCAAGAGGTCACAAGATACCCATTTGAAATCCCGTTCTTGTTGCTTTATAATGATGTACCCTTGTGTTGTTTATGCGAATGCACAATGACATTTTTCTTACAATGTCAATAAAACGCTGACGAATTAGCATGAGTGACAACACACGTTAAAAATGATTATTATGTTTAACGATGTTTTTCTTGAATTCGATACTGAATTCGATACTGCAAACCCATGCATGGTAATCAGAGATGTGAAGGTGAGCGTATTCCTAATGCTTAGCCACACCACCAAGCCAATATTAGCAGTCTCTTCTGAATAAGCCCGCAATTACCAATACCAATTTAGAAATCTAGAAAACCTTTCTTTCCAGTTTTGAGCTTTTCAATCTCAATTTTCATTTTCCTCTTTTCTTCTTGCACCCGCTTCATTTCCTTTTCGTGCTCTATCCGCATTCTCTCCGCATCCCTCTTTTCTTGTTCATTTTTTAATTCCATCTGCTTCATTCTTTCTTCAAACTCTTCTTTGACTTTTACAACTTCCTTCTCTGGAGCGCTTCGTACTACAGAACCTAAAAGTATTGGTTTCATTTTAGACAGAATAATAAAAACCATAGAGCAAAATCAATTGATAAATCAAACCAAAATGTTCCCGAATATCATTCATATAAAGCAAACATCTTGGGTATTATCACAATATGTCAGGTATGATTTAAGCTAGGCTTTGGGGTAAATATGAAATCCAGACTTTATTAAATGAGAATTTTATTTAAAAGTCTTGCAATAAACTTTGTTTCTGACTGAGTTCAAAATTTGCTACTAAGGTCAATATATACTGTGTTCAACCAATTATCCAAATTTTTGATTGAAGAAATATTCGATATTTCAATATTAAAAACGATAGAATCTGTACCTGGATAAATAAAACCAAAACCCGTGGCAAAAAATAAGGTTTGTTCTTATTTAAGCGAAAATGCTTGTGATTGAGGGTTCAATGATATTTAAAAGGTACCATGATATATAAATAAAATTTTGTATTAAAAGAATGAAAATTACGGTACCTAGATGTAATTAGGCTGTTGTCTTGTTATTTAAGTTTTGGGCAATGCCATGGTCTGGTGCATTGGTTCTTAAACTGGAGGGTGCAAGAAGCTCTCAGGGGGGCGCAAGAGGTCACAAGCCCATTTGAAATCAGCATTGGGTCGCAAGGCAATCAGTGTGGTCACTCGAAAGACATTCGTGCATGGTTGCAAACAATACCTTGTTTTCGTGGTTTAGCGTGTTATTTGGCCATTTTCAGTGGTGTTCCAAAAATTAGTTGTAAGTAAGTAAATCAAATAACATGCAGTAATAAAAAAATCATACAACAAACGCTGCGATAGACTCGCCTAAAATTTTCTATTTAACACCTGTAAGCGGCACACAGTTAAATGTTTTGAATAAAAATAATAGTTTTGCTGATGTGAGCCAGTTTAAGAAAACACATTAAAGCGCATAAAACATATATTTATTGCGTTCAGTTTTAAATAAAATTCAGCTTGTATTTACGAAGTATCGCAAAATGACCAGAAAAGGAGAATGTATGACGACGATTATCTCAAGTATGGCTTTATTCATACGACAGTGAATGGTGAGGTTATACCCCAATGCGTTTTTATGCCTTTAAAAATTTGAGCAATTAAGTTATGAGACCAACTCGCTTACAGCGACAACCTTAAACAAAGTAACCTGCCAATTACAAGAGCATTTGACTTTTTCCAAAGCAAAAGGGGAGCGCAAAGTTTGTAAGATTTGGGGGCACAACTCAAAAAGTTTTCCACCATTGGTCTAGTGGTTAAAGAGCTAGATTTAACTGTAGGATGACATGACAGATTACACATCACAGGTTCAAACCCTGTGTCATGTCAAATTGTGTAAAAGATTGGGTAGACAATGCCTTACAAGGAAAAATATGGTTCTTTAAAAGAAATTGCCGTTTTACATAACGAAAAATATCAGTATATGGCCTTTTGGCCTTTTTTGGAATTTAATGTGTCGAATGTCTGCAGTTCTGATGTAAAAAAAACACTACTAACATGGGTAACTTCAAATGTGCCAGGTCATGTGTTTATCCAATAACAGAGGCCTGGGTCAGAAACATCAGTTACTAAAAATATTATAGAATTCACCTATTTCAAATTATTTTATAGAAATTATAATGCATTCATACATGCGACTGACTATCGGAAAGCCAGGGCTTGAAATTTAGTTTCGTTTGCACCTCCTAATGCACTTCAATACAAAAAGTTTTTCAATATTTCAATATTTTTCGATTAATTAGCCAACGTTGCGTATACTCTGGGCCAATTGTTAGCCAAATGAGAGTTTTATGAAAGATATTCCAGAACCACATTACCAGACCACCCATTCATGAAAACTGCAAAAACCTGATGCACCTAGAATGGCAGAAGATCCTTCCTCATCATCCTTTGAAGAGCTTGAATCTGGTATGGCCAATGGTTTATCTGCCTTTGGTTTTTCTTCAGCTTTTTGAGATGCTCGTGAAAATAATTCATCCATCAGCGAATCGTAACATTTATCTGACTTTTTTACCAAGGGTTCAAGTCGAACTATCTCTTTCAGAAACTTAAGAGATAAATCTTTAAGTTTAATGAAACTAAACAAGCCCTGAAATAATTTCCTCCTGTTTTTGACATCATGTTTCACCCATTTCATCATCGCCTCATATTTGACAGCCTCTGAAGAATACTTTGTGCCTGAAGATTTGAAAAGTCTTATTATGTCATCCTTGCTAATATCACGAAATTCATTTTTCTTGCTAATTTGTTCAAAATTTGTCTCCAAGAATTGGTTAATGGAATCTTGAATTGTCATTTGTTCAGAAACTTGATTGGTTTCAGAAAGATTTTTCAAGATAAAGCAGTTGTCAATATCAAGATTTGTCTCAAGTTTTTTGACGTCAGAAAATAATGCAGCGATTACCGATTTCTCAGCTGTTTTATTGTTTTTAACAATAGGTTCTTCAAGGACAGTTTGTAGAAGAAATTTAAAGGGATATTGCTCGATGCTGACAAGTTCAGAAACCTGTACGTTATCTTTTCTTTTTGCCCATGTTACCACAGCTTTCCATGATGTTTGGTAAGTCTCATTTCTCATGTAACGCAAGAGATCTGATTTGGTTATGAATGGAAACATCTCGGAAGAAATAACAGATTCGAAATTATCAATCACGACCTGTTCGGCTTGTTGTATTATATCACGGCGATCATATATTTGAGCCAAATTGATTACAGAGAGACAATTTATTGGAGAAATGGTAATTTCCAAGAATTGAAAACAAAGATTCGTTAATTCCACCATTTGTAAAAGATTGGAAGCATGCAGGATATGCTGAATATTTTCTATTTCAAATCTGCCTTTCCTTTATACATGAACTCTACGCATTGTGCGATCCCATCCTGATCGACATCCTTCATTATAACGTGGCCGTCATGAACTTCCTTCAAGTTGCTTGAAAACATGGCTTCAAAGTATTCTGAAGAGGCTGCCAAGACAGTACGATGCACTCGGAATGATTTTTCACCGACGTTGATGTTGAAATCGCAAAGAAACCCTTTCTCTTTGAACCTGTCATATGATGTCATGAGACGATCTGACTGTTTTACTCTAGCCTGGTTTATTACTTGCGAACTCATCTTTGTACTTTTGCCAAACTTACAATTTAAGCGTTAAACTGAGATCTGAAAATAATTGTTTTGTTTTTATCAAGCATGGCTTGAATAAAAAATGTCTGTATCTTTCAGAAGTTAGCTTTGACTTCACTAGTTCAGCTCACAAACAACCATAAATTAAACTTAGCTGAAAAAACTGGACCATGGAATTGTAAAATATCAAGTATCGTCATTATATATTAATAAGGAGTCATTATCTCTCCCTAAATTTAGTAGGAAATGGCAGACTGAGCCATATCACAGTTACTGATAACCCAATCTAATCCATGTCCATAACACTTTGGATGGGAGCGAAGCATCTTGAAATGCATCACACTTTTATTTGATTTAACAAATATAACAAGACCAGTTAATAGATTTGTTGCAAGCTTGAACCTTATTTTTCGACCAGACTTTTGTTCTGGGCCATTCTTAATTGCAAAGTTGAATTCAAGAGTTTTGATTTGATTTGCTTAATTTTCAGATATTTACTCTATCATATAATATTATATACTACAATACACTATTCACTATGCATTCAAAAAAATTATAAGTTTACATTTCCGCTATTTAAAAGGAGCCAATAAATCTATCTATAATATACACTACCAAGTCAAACTTTGCCTTCAATCATGAGGCAATAAATATAGCAGAGCTCAAAATGGAAAGTTAGATATGCAGTTCATTCACAATACCAACAAAGCATAAATGCTAAAAACTTTTGCTCCACTGCTTATTGGATAGAATTCTAGAGTATATTTACGACCTTACTCAATATAAATGTTTATACAGTATTTATTATTATAGGAAAGTGAACATAAAACCAGGAAACTTCCAAACTTCGAGGTTTATTTACTCAATCATTTCATATCGACGACAATAAACATCAAGATGTAATGATAAATATACTTGATTTGCCTTAAGTAAGCTGACATGTTTTTAGGCAATAAAATTTTCATTTCTAATAAAATTATTCGGCACTCCTGAAGTTTTGCACCAAGATGGCGCACAACCTAAACCTTAATCTGGAATACATACTGTATTCAGGTTATGCGCCATCTTGGTACGCATACTTCTGAATCTCCAATTAATCAATATTGTAAATTTACCAAAATCAAATTCACCAAGGTAATTTTAACATTTAGTATTAAAGTATTTAAATGTCTTATGACATAAAATAAAACCAGGTAATTTTGTCAAACTGCCAGACAATTCTGACCAGGACTGAAATAAAATATCAAACTGTTCCTGGGACCTGATAATACAAATTGTTTGTATATGCCATTTTATACCGGTAATGCACTTATTCTAATCTTGATACAAACCCTATCAATCCTATAATTTTTGAGTTAAACATGATTTTATGAATGAGATAAGAGCACTTGGCAGAATACAATGTTTTATATAACAGAACAATATTGTGCTTAAAGAAATTTGATCAATGCGGGTAAATTTTTGCTGCAATTGTTAGTTAGTTCATAAATTTCTTTATATAAATAACTTTTTGATTTCATTTCATAACATTCAATAATTGATTCCATAACAGGCATTCAAATTGTTTAAAAATTATGATTAACAGGACTGATTTCAGAACAATTGAAAACAGTACGAATAGTACGATGTGATAAAGATTTATTGATTGAGCTCAACAAAATTAATTATAATTTATAGGTCTTGAACAGTGGTTCTAGCGACTCACCTCGAAAAATAACTAGCAAACAATAAGTTACAAATAACAGATAGTAAAGCGAAAGTATGATTTGTTCAAAAAAACATATTTAAAATACATGGATGAAATAGCAATCTCTAAACCAGTAATGTCCACCCTGCAGCCCATGCGGCCCACTTGAGGTTTTTTTTATAAATAGAGCCATGGAGTATCAAATGGCTAGATTATTTTGATGGCCTTTGCACCGATGATCGAATATGATTAGTAAGCAGACAGCCAGAACTCGTTCAAACTTGCTTTCCTGTTGCCTAACTGAACACGTTAGTCAACATGGTGGAAGGTGGACGTCTTGTTTACAAAAACGTTATGACATCACAATACAATTATGCCAAAACAACCGCCCTTAATACCACAACAGGGCAAATGCAATAATAATATCAGTCTAATTAATTATGGTTACTCAACTCTCCCAAGCTTGCCCGTTGCAAGCATGCCTATGTGTAATGCAGACAGATTATTTTCTAAAATTCCAAAAAGGGCCGCGGCACACTTGAAAGTCTCTTGCGGCACACAGTTCGAGAAACGCTGGACTAAACCCTAGCACGGAATAAATACAAGTAAAGGTGGTGCAACCAAAATACAGATTACAAAATGCTGGCAATTCAGGTCATATGTGACATCACGAATGCGACGCTATCTGTGTTGCACAAAAATGCTAGAATGTGACATATCTCTGAAAAAATAGGATTTCATGGATGCGCAATATCTGAAAACTCGAGGAATTGTAGCAGGGATTCATTGTATTCGAAAATCCCTGACAATTAGGCACTTTTTAACATTTCTCCCCGACACAAATTTGACCACTAAAATCCCGGACATGCCAGGGGAAAATATGGCTTATGGCAACCCTATACTATTGGAGACACTTTCACTTGTTACACAATATTCAACCTGTGATCCTAATAATGATGACTTTATAAATTAAATAAAAATTGCAATTTATAATTCCATTAAAGAACACACTACACTACAACAGGTTCTATCATTTATTTCAAACAAAACTTCTCTACACCAAACAAGAGTATTTTCAATTTATCATACATTTTTAATATCAAGAGTTAGAAATTGCATGAAAATGATGACTTATTTAGAAGAAGAATTATCACAACAACAAAGCATTCTATAACCTGTATAAGTAAAATTCTGACAGAGTTACGCTTGAACTTTTATTTAGTTCATCTTTCATTACTAAATATTCTTTTATACCTAATATCAATTATGCAATACTTGGCTATTAGAATAATAAAACTACTTGTACAAGGCTGCTTGAAGGCAGAAATACTGATTCTTGATATCTTTCAATGGAATATTTGTCAACAATAGAACAGAGCTCAAAATTAAATACTGATACTTCGAGAGCGACATCACATACATACGTGATATAAAATCTCTGTATAACTACAATATAATATGCTAAGATATCAAAAAGCATAAACATGTATTGATACAATGAAATAAGTTTGCCAATATTATGATAAAAACAAACAATGGTAGAATATATTATAATGAAGTTTGCATTTTAAAACAATTTCAGTTTAAAAATAAAACTGACAACAGAAAATTAGATCATAGGAAAGTGTAAATCAACCAGTAACATCGATTATGAAGTATGATTTATAAATATTATGAAACTTTATCCAATGACTATATTTTACGTTTTGTCAAAAACAAATCAAATCAATCAAAAAAAATTAAAATCGGCCCAAAATATGAGGGTCTGGGCTGTGCCAGAGTAAAATGTTCTTCGATTTAGAATACTTTCAATTAAATTAAAACATCTAAATGCAGAATCATTTGATAATTTGAGGGCGTGGCTGTTTTGACCCGCTGAGGTGAGACATCTGTCGTATATTATTATCCATATATTTAGTATTCAGGGCTTGTTATTTTCCACATAGTCACTATTCAGCTCTTCTTTAACTACAAGAATAATCAAACATTTGAGGGCGTAGCTATTTCGACCCACTAACGTCATACAACATACAAACAGTGGGTAATAAAACCTATAATATTACCAGGTATTACCATTAAAATTTGCGTGTTTATTGTGTAACAAAGGATTTTACAATATTTGCTCAAAGACATGCCATAAAACACTAACAGTCATGGTGATTTACAGCCTTTGTATTCCTTAATATCATTATGTTAGCAGATTTCACCTCTTGTAGAATAAAAACTGGAACTATATAAGTAAAATATCTGCATAAAACTGCTCTGCTATATAAGTATTTACCGTAAATATGTATGAGCATAACTTTTCTTAATATTGAAGTACACAACATTCTGGACATATATTAACATTTGGAAAGTTGATCATTCATTATTTTCACTCGAATCCAAAATATAGTTTTCTTGTGCTAATAATTTGGTTTCTCCAAGATTAACTGCTTATCCTTCTTCTATGCTTTTTTGCCGGCGGATCCGTATGCATATAATGCAAGGATGCTGTAGCAAGAGTAAAGATAGTTTCTTACAGGTAATAAATCCCAGTTATTAGCAATGTTGTTATCATCTGATGAGTCAGTCCATTCAGTATGCGTAACAGCAATTTGAAAATGCACTTTATTTGGTTTTCTTTAGAAGTTTAAATAACAAATAATTGCAAACTTTACCTAATATGCCCATGCATGGAGTACTGCTGCCACATCTTGGCTGATAATCGTATGAGTTTTCTAAAGTAAATTAAACAACCTTAAAAACAGTTATATTAATAAATGAAACTCACTTAAAAATGTACTCAAGCATTTCATTTATCACTTGAACTTCACAATATTTGGATGTTCCCATCCCTACCAAATCTCTTAAAAATATTTTCCACTCAAAATACTAAGGTAACAAATTGGCAAATATATCTTATCTTATATCTTAAATAATTTTTTGAAAATTCGCATTTTTCAATTATGTTCCCCTAGGTATGTAATACTTAAACAAGCATACTGCATATATTCTATTGCATTACTGTTCCATGCTCATTATATGGCGCAGATAGTAATTGTAATTATATTTAGACATTTGAAAGTAAACAACTCCCTTCTAGTGTGCGGCCATGTAAGTATGGATCTGTAATAACTAAATCTGTTACATTCATGACACCCATGCTTGTTTCCTTGAATTTTGTAACAATTATTATTCATAAATATTTAATTTATAACTGATAACCCACTTTTGGCCGCCCATTTTATCAGTATCCAATAATCAATAATAACTAATAACATGTAACTATCGAAAGAGCACAAAGCCATGTTTAAACACCCACTGATATCTCACAATATGTATGAAACTACTGTTATATGGGACTGCCACAGTCTTTCCGGTTTAACATTGTCTACCCAATTTATCACACTCTGGTGAGGTTGGGGGCGTGGCAGAGGTAAGGCTAATGCTTTGAATACTAGGCCAGCGCGCCACCCTATTCTGATAACAGTCATTTGCAAATGCACTGAATTTGGTTGTGTCAACTTATGTACAATGACTTCAAAAATAAATGGAACAAAAACATGCAAACTTAATTTTCACAAATCACTGATGCATGGAATAATGGGCTAATGCTAATGTGACTGAACCAAAACTAGAGTCAAAATTAGAAAGGTTTTCTATTTTTTCTTTCCTTTACAATTTAAAACATACCTAGA